ATCAGCATCGTCTCCCCTCGTTTTCTCGGACCCGACAGCGAGCATCATCAGCATCATCACCGCCTGTCTCTAGTTGGCTTGCGATGAGGAAAGCAATGCCGAGGATGCTAGTCTCTCCAACCACCACCTAGAAAGAGGACTCGATGATGCTGATGATGCTCGCTGTCCGTTTGGGAAAATCGAGGGGAGGCGACGCTGATGATGTCGGCTTTCGGGCCCAGCTTCTGTCCAAAATCTGGTGGCGATGATGCTCATGATGCTCGCTTTCTAGCGGCATGCAACCTCCAAACATCAGGCGCTGAGGTTTATGGTGCCCGCCTTGCGGCCGTTTGAAGCAGCTCTGCAAGAGAGTATCATGACCAGAACTGGGCCATTGCTTTGATTTTTCAGTTTCTAAAGGCGTGTGGTGTGCTCGCCAGCATACTTCACAAGAGCTCTTCGACACGGCGCAGCCAGAAGGCGCGGCTAACATTTTTGCAGCGGGCTGGAAAGCGCAAAACAAGCGAGCATCATCGGCATCATCTCCGGCCACTTTCGGCAAGGAGGTGACCCCGAAAGCGAAAATCATCAGCATCGGCTCCCCTCGTTTTCTCGGACACGACAGCGAGCATCATCAGCATCATCACCGCCTGTCTCTAGTTGACATGCGATGAGGAAAGCAATGCCGAGGATGCTTGTCTCCCCAACCACTGGCACCTAGAAAAAGGACTCGATGATGCTGGTGATGCTCGCCATACGTTTTGGAAAACCGAGGGGAGGCGATGCTGATGATGTTGGCTTTCGGGCCCAGCTTCTGTCCAAAATCGGGTGGTGATGATGCTCATGATGCTCGCTTTCCAGCGGCATGCAACCCGCCACTTTCGGCAAGGAGGTGACCCCGAACGCGAGAATCATCAGCATCGTCTCCCCTCGTTTTCTCGGACCCGACAGCGAGCATCATGAGCATCATCACGCCTGTTTCTAGTTGGCCTGCGATGAGGAAAGCAATGCCGAGGATTCTTGTCTCTCCAACCACTGGCACCTAGAAAAAGGACTCCATGATGCTGATGATGCTCGCTCTCCGTTTTGGAAAACCGAAGGGAGGCGATGCTGATGACGTTGGCTTTCGGGCCCAGCTTCTATCCAAAATCTGGTGGCGATGATGCTACTGATGCTCGCTTTCCGGCAGCGGCATGCAACCTCAAAACATCAGGCGCTGATACTAACGGTGCCCGCCTTGCGGCCGCCCGCTATCCAGGATCAGCGCGGACCCTTTTTTTTTTGAAACAGCTTTGCAAGCGAATATCATGTTCGGCAGGCGTGTGGTGTGGGAAAGAAGGGCCAGCATACTTCACAAGAGCTCTTGGACAGGGCGCAGCCAGAAGGCGCGACTAACATTTTTGCAGCGGGCTAGAAAGCGCAAAACAAGCGAGCATCATCGGCATCATCGCCCGCCACTTTCGGCAAGGAGGTGACCCCGAAAGCGAGAGTCATCAGCATCGTCTCCCCTCGTTTTCTCGGACCCGACAGCGAGCATCATGAGCATCATCACCGCCTGTTTCTAGTTGGCCTGCGATGAGGAAAGCAATGCCGAGGATGCTTGTCTCCCCAACCACTGGCACCTAGAAAAAGGACTCGATGATGCTGTTGATGCTCGCCGTCCGTTTTGGAAAACCGAGGGGAGGCGATGCTGATGATGTTGGCTTTCGGGCCCAGCTTCTATCCAAAATCTGGTTGCGATGATGCTACTGATGCTCGCTTTCCGGCGGCGGCATGCAAGTAAAAGACTGATGTTAATGGTGCCCCTTGCGGTCGCCCCTTATAACCACACGCGACATTCTCTCTTTGTGTTCTGAGTAGCAAGCACCACAAGGCGAGCGCGTTTTCAGTTTCCACAGGCAGCTGGCCGGGAAAGCACCCATCGCAGCATTTTCAGGATTGGGTAGGAGTTCGGCGGAAGGCGAGCGCCTCAAAATTGTGGGTGGCATGCACCCAAAAAGTGCGAAACGTAAGTTTAGGTTGGGGCCCGGAAAGCGCAAGCAAGCGCAAGCAAGCGCAAGCAAGCGCAAGTCATCATGATGTGCTGGAGTGGGAACAGGCACGGCCTTCAAAGTAAGCACCATGGGCATAATCGCCTACTAAGGTACGAGAAGATGGGCGGTGCCGGGAACCCGTTTGCAGAAGCATTGATCCAGCATCTTGGAAAAGAACAGTTTCAGGCCGGACCTGTGGTTGACTTAAAGTCAGGCAGTTGTGAAACCAATATCGGCCGCACACCCATGCTTGGTGTGTGTAAGGAAGTGGTCTCGTGGGCTGCGGCTCTTCGAAGAGCATGCCAGACGAACTGCGGCGCGAGGTGACCAAGCGGTGCAGCTTAGAGCCAAAGGATGGTGGATGGTGCACATGCACATGAACGGACGAAGGAAAGACAAAGGTAAGAAGTATAGTATAGCATAAATGTGTAGCCGGCTGAAACAGGTGCCCCGTAAGGACAATGCGGACTGGACATCAATAACTGTTGATGTGGTCCGACCAAGTACCCCCCCGAGCCGCAGACCTGCCAAGACAACTTGCGATCTGATGTTCAAGGCATGTTCTGCACGTTGGCTAATCGCAATGCCTGCTCCACTACAATATCGTCGTCAGGGGGCCACATATCAATGGCTTTTGCAAGGTATCACAAGTTCAACTGTGACTTGCACGTGTTGGTGGCCAAGCACACAGCAGCCCTTCGGTTTGAAATCTCACTTTGCAAGCTGCAAGATGGTCCGTACGACACTCATTCCTGACCAAATCTTGGGCTTTTGGCACGCCAGGATGCGGACCTACACTTCGCCAAAGTCGAGGGCCCGCAGCGCGATTACTGGGAACGTCGCCGCTTCCCCAGCTGAATGACTCGATGCTAGAATTCCGCTTGCACTAGCTGCTGTGGTTACATGCTTGTAACCTTGTAAGTGATCATGCTCTCAAGATCTCTCAAGAGTTGCTTATAGTCGAATCGGCTACAAGGTAAATCGATCACAGGCTCTGCTGCAGAGTCTGGCTGCAACTGGGACAGAGATGGCTTCAAGCAGTGGGAGGGCTGGACGACGGAGGACTTTATTTACCACGAGGCCACCGGTGTGCAGGTGTTGTGTGAGCCTTCAGTGTTTGAGATGCTTTGGGAGGTCGAGACTGACCACGATACCATAAAGAACTCGCCCCTCATGCGCAAGATCGTGCCTCTCAGCTTGGAATGAGTCGGTGACCTTCGCACTGGAGACGGCCTTTCCTGAACAAGACGCCTCCTTGCAGTCTCAGGTTCAAAGAATTGGGCGGCTTCTGCGGCATGGATTTCTGAGTCTGCGCAAAAGACGAGAACGTGTTTCTTCTGAAGTCACACGCCTGCTCATTGGAAGCTCCGGGGGGTGCTGTTGCAGCTTTGAGGCTCTGCCAAAGCCGGTAATCAAAGCAGGCGCCTACCAGATTCTACTCGTACCACTTTTCCTTAAAGTGTCCCCCTTCATGCGTCGCGTAGCCACATGCAGCCACAGAGCAAAAGAAGCGCACCCTCTCCCTCAGACCGGGGTGTCACTCGCCTCTTCGTCCGCCATGGGTCGGACGAAGCCGAAACCGAAGCCCACTGCGCGAAAGGGCGGGCCGGGCCCGGAATCGAATCCGTCGAACCCCTATGACAGCAGCTTGGTTATGCTTGGAGTGGATTTGAGAAACCTTCTGAGTTCCCTTTTATGGGCTCTTTTGCTCGAAGACTTGAAGCGCTCCGAGGCTTCCAAAACAAGCGGCGGCGTCACGAAGTCCTCAATGAGAGGGTGAAAGGCGAGCGGCGGAACATCGCTCGCTCCCGGGCCTCGGCAACTGCCGAGCGAACGCAGCAGCTGCTGAAGGAGAGACGCGCCGTCTCCTTGAAATGCCGCCTCGTCGTGCACGTGACATGTGTCCAATCTCGTTCCCGCCATGGGCCGCCACAATGTGTGCTTTTAGGCGGAATGCGTACGCTACTTGACCTTGCGCCAGTGCCTCTCAGATCAGTCAGTTTTTCAGCATCCCTTCTTGAAACTTCCCTTTGGGAGGAGAAGCTGACTGTGGGCCGAAGCTCCAAGTTCCGCGATGCGCGGCTGGGCGGAGATGAAGGGAAAGGCACCAGCGTGCAGCGACTGGTGAGGTTGCGGCAGCGGGAAGCCAAGAAGAGCTTCAACTTGGGCCAGGAGGAAGATCTAAAGGTCAGAGGTCGTCCACTGTCCTCCATGGCTGACTCAGAGCTGCGGGAGGGGACTGTCGGCAGCGATGAAGAAGCACCAGACCACATGGACGACATCGTGGCCATGGGTCGCGCCAGGAAGGAGGAGGCGGCGCGGGCGCGGGAGGAGCACGAGAGGCAGAGAACTGACTTGGATAAGGGCTTCGGGGACATCATGGGAGAGCTGAGCTTCCAGCCGCCAAAGGCTAAGCGGCTGCTTGACAGACCAGAGCCCGATAGTTATGACAAGCTCTTGAAGGAGCTGGTCTTTGACAGGAAGGCAACTGCCACGGAGCGGACGAAGACCCCTGAGGAGATCGCCAGGGAGAAAGCGGAGAAGCTGGAAGCCCTCGAGCGGAAGCGCTTGGCTCGCGCAGATGGCTTAGCTGAAGATGTGGCGGATGCAGACGAGGACAGTGAGGCTGAAGACTTGCAGAAGCTGGCAGAGGCTACCGGAGGAGATGAGGAAGTGGCGGAGGAGGGAGAGGAGGAAGAGGAAAAGGAGGAGGACGAGGAGTTGACCGATGGCAAGTTGGCACAGGGCCAGGAGCAATCTGACGCCCTTGACAATGCTGATGATGCCGACGGTGCAGCTGGAGAAGTTGATGAAGATGACAGACTGGGCGAGGATTGCATTAAGCTCATGACTGTTGCAGATGCGGAGAAAGTCCATCGCAGCTTCATGAAAAACGCAAAGGGTGAGGAAGGTTTGCCCTTTGCGCCCGAGTGCCCACAGGATCGACTTTCTGTTGAGCGACTGTTGTCGGGGCGTGACTCTGTCATGGCCTTGAAACTGGTACAACGTGGCTCGTTTCTGTGTTCAGTATGCTATGTATGTACCTTTTGTTAGCCAACTGTTCTTCGCATCGCATTTGCCTCGGGGCAGTCGGTGGTAGATTTTACGTCCTCCAAGGAGTCCGCACACGAGCCTCCAGCGCTTTGTCTGCAGAGAACCGCGGGAAGCTGAAAGGTTTTCTGCTTGCCCTGCTGGACTACGCCATCAACGTGATCGCCCGAAGCGACGGCGATGTGAGCTCACGGGGCATGACGATCGTTTTTGCACTGCGGCGACCGATCCTGGAGCTCGCAGGTGAGTATCCCCAGGAAGTCACTGACTACTTTCTGGAGCTGCTGAGGGCTTTGGGGCCTGAGACAGCTCCAAAGGCCCGGGAATTGGCAGCCCTGAAGTTGGTGCCGCTCTTGTTTCCGGTCACCGACTTCCAGCATCCCGTGGTAACGCCTGCGACTCTCCTCGCGGACCACTGGGCATCTCAGCTTGCGAGACTTGGGGCCGACATCCAGGACCTCGTGTCCGAAGGCTCCATGCCCCCTGCCAAAATTTAGCAGCAATAGGCTCATAAATAACAAAACTTTAACGGTGAGTGACTAATGGTATCACGCCGACCTGCACATGTATGGAGCCTCGCCTGGCTTCTCCGAGTTGTGAAAGCGTAATGGTGATGATGCTGATGATGATGATGATGATGAGGATGCTGAGGATGATGCATGATATGCAAAGCCTGATCACATGTAGCCGCGTCCAGCTCGTCGAAGAAGCTCCAGCCAAGGTTGCTTTGCACGCTCTACGAGTTGCTAAGCCCCGGTGGAAAGTTCTGCAGCTCCTTCTTCCAGCTGGGCGTCGCGCTTCTGCAGTCCTCTGCCTCCTCTGCAGCTGCGGGTCGGCAGCCGCTTTTGCCAGCAAAGAGCAGGATTTTAGGCGTTAGATTCCGTTTTTCAAGTGTCGGTCAGGAAGAGGTTTACGTTGTGAGTTGCTCTCAGTCTGCCCCTATCGTCAGCACGATGCCAAGTTCTCATGGAATCCTGCAAAAAGACATCCAGTCCTGTCTTGAAGGTATGACAGGGAGGGTGGGCGTGCTCAGAGCACGGGGACACCTACTCTCGCCCAACGAAGGAAAGAAAGAGTGCCTGAGAGACTGAGAGTAAAATCTGAGAGAAGGGAAGGTGCTGTTTCTGCAGAATCAGAATAAGAAGAAGAATAATACTAATCATAATAATAAAGCAACAACAATAATGATAGTAATCATAAAAATCGTAACAATAATAAACAAAGAGTGACAATAACAATAAAGCAATAAGGATAAATCAGAATGAGTTTGCGTGCAGAGGCAGGCGGCCGCCGCGGCTGAGGACCTGGCCGCGATCCTGGCCCGGTGTTTAGAGCGTACGGCGGAGCAGGTGCGGGGACTACAAGCCCTTTCAACCAGGAACTTTTCTCTCAAATATTTCATCTGGCGAAGTGCGCTTGATTTGGATTTCGTGATGGCTCGAGTGGGTTTCGGCCCCCATACCCCAAGCTACTGTATGCAAGCAAGAATCGAGTCGTGGGTTCTTGGGGACTTATGTGGTCTTGTATCAAACTGACAGGGATGTAGGTTAAAAGCGCAAGCCCGTGAGGCCCCTGCCTCAGCGGCAGTACTGCTCCAGGAGGTCGTGCGGCCTGCATTGGCAGAGATTGTGGGGGAAGGGCGCACCAAGATCCAAGGGGCGCTGCAGAGATTGGAAGCCGTCTCTAAGTCCTTGGCCCTGCAGGGCTGCTTCGAAAAGACTTTGAGGCTGTTCGATGCAGGTCCCGTGCAGATTAAGATGTTGGACCCAATCTTCCACGAGGAGGGCGACCGTCCACTGACGCGGGGAATGGAGGCTTCGGCGACGAAGCAGCTGCAGCGCAAGCTCAACCAGGAGCGGCGTGCTGCAGCGCGTCAACTGGCCCGGGACGCGGCGGTGGTGCAACAGCTGCAGAGCCAGAAGCAAGATCAGCGGCGGAAGGCTGGGCAGCAGGAGAGGAAACGGGTGCGACAGCTAATGGACGTTGAGAAGCAGGAGTGGTCAGCCGAACGGGATTAGCAGGCGATTCAGGAACTGGAATTGATGCCTGTCCTTCTTGTGTCAGCTTGCATTTACAGATCTTGCTGTGAGGCCTCTGTTGGCTCTGTAGAATATTGAATGCCGGCAGGAGCTCAAGCAGATGGCCACGGAGTTCGACAAGAGCATGAATACCATGTTTGGAAGTTACTCCAGGACGAAGGAGCGGAAGAAGGCCAACAGGCGCTCCCTGGGCTTCTGAGAAAGCCAACTTGGTGCGGGTTGGGGGTTTGTTTAGGTTCGTTGCATTGATGCAGCTGAAACGAGGTTCGGCCTGCTAGACCTGGTTTCCGCCCTGTTCGCCAAGTTGTGGTGGTGGCAGCTGTAAGAAGTGGTGACAGCTGAGTCGTGGTCTTGTCGCAGTCCTTGTCCTTATCGATGTTGCCTTCGTTGATGTCATGTTCCTTCCCTGGACCTTGCAGACCCATCCGCGCCGACAGGCGTATGGGTGGCAATGCTACGGCTGAGAATCCCAAGGAGGCCAGGCCGAAGCCTGCGAAAGAAAAGGGGAACGCAGTGGACACAGATGCCAAAGGCCCAAAGAAGGCTAAACGCTCTGGCGGGAAGAAGTCCAAGTTCAAGCGATGACGCAACATGTGTCGCCCAGCCAGGTCTCAGACAGTTCTGTCACCGAAGCATTCGTTTAGTTTAGTTGCTGTGGTTGATTAAAATCATCAAGATGGCAGTTGTTTGCTATGCGGCTGGGTCAGATGATGATGTTTGCGCTGACTCCTCACCTGTGGTCTGCAGGCAATAAGAGAGTTAGATGCAGCAGGATGTGTCACGATCCCATCCGCAAGCAAAAAGGACCATCTTCTTCGGGTTGCTTGTGTAGCCTCTCGAGCGCCCTGATGTTTCGCCAAGCCAAGTGAGGCTTTGAACCATGCTACCATCATCCTGGGAATAGGATTCAATCACGTTGCCTGCCCTGAGTGTTGAAGTGGCGGCGTTGCGGAAGCATGCGGAAGCAATCTTTGACCTTTGGATCAAAGGCCGCCTGACAGCATATGAGCATATGCGCCGCTCGGGCGAGCATTTCACAAGCACACATGCATGCGCAGACGCACATACGCGAACACGGACACATCTTCACCAGCTGCCCACATAAATAACGCCTTCCCTTCGCTCGCTGAGTCTCTTTGGAGGACCGGGCAAGGAACCTGAAGCATGTGCATGGATGAGCAGTACTGCGAAGCATCGTCCAAGCCAGCTTTGACAATGCCGACCGTCGTTCCAGAAAGCGTGCAGCTGCTGCGAACCTACCGTTTGTGGGCGCTTCATCTCTACACGAGTTGAAGCGACGGCTCGACTGCATCAAGGCCCAGTGGCCCCATTGCGGGTCAGCCAGCTGACCCTCCTGCAGCAAACGCGAGGGAGGCGTTTCCCATGATGTGCGACCCACTACGTTTTTCAGAGTGTCCCTGCAGGGCTATGCAGCAGGGGTGGCGTCGGTGGCGTTGCTCTGTCACTTGCAGGTGGAGGCCCAGGGCATGCCGCGACGTCTTGCGGAATTCAACTTTCAACCGAAAAACTGCCACTTGTTCCGAACAGCACGCCCTGCTCCTGCTCTGCTTCATCTTGCTGGTCGTCGCCGTGGTGGTTTACCACCACATGCCGAAGGCGGAGACTTTGATTAAACTATGGTGGCCCATGGAAATGTAATATCATGAAGCAACAACAACACAACCACCACAACGCCACCACCGCTGCCGCCGCCACCACCGCCACCACCACCACCACCAACAACAACAACAACAGCAGCAGCAGCAGCAGCTACAACAACAACACAACAAACGACACACGACACAGGACCCACGACCCACGAACTTTATACCATACACTTGATCTGAAGTCTGCCATCCAACATCATCCGACATCATGCTGAGGATCAGCCACGTGATGATATCGAGCAGCTGGAAGAGGGCCTTATGCCAGCACGGGTCCCAGAATCCGAATCCCAGGAAGGCAGAGGCCGCTTCAGAACTTCAAGCTGACTTTTATGTCGCTTAAAGTCTTTTGTCTCTTGTGTGTCTATGCGTGCCGGGAAGGTTTCAGATGAATCCATCTGATGTCCAAACATTTTGACAAGAGGCCAGAAACCTCTCGTCGATCTCGACGACCGCTAGCTCGGAGGCGGGGTTGTGCTGCGAAAAGGGCCACGCAGCAAAACTTACGCCGCGACAACCGCCGGCATTCTGTGCTACACATCCAGGTCCAGGCCATGGAAGATTCTCTGTTGGCATCGTCGCATTGGGGAGGCCGCCCTGCTCAGATTCATTACAGTTGTTGACGGGTGTGCTTTCAGAGTCCGGTGATTGTGTCATTGTCGTGGTGGGAGGCTTCTCGCCATGAGATGGCCGAGATGGCCGTAACAACGATCCGGTAACAAAGACAAAGAAAATTGAAATTATATATATATATATGCAGAGATCTCTCTATGTTCAAGATATCTCCCTGCACCAGGCCCCGAGGTCCTACCTGCGGTGGGCGCAGCCTCTACAATCGATTGCTTCCCCAATGCTGGCTGTTTTTGACCGGGCCCCGCTTGTTTCGGGGTGGTGAGAGAAGGTAAACTCGAGCGGTGATTTTGGCATCGGTGGGAGGCCGGGTGCTGCATCAGGTACTACATTAGATCGCCCATCATTGCTACCTGCTAATCACCGAGAGCTTTCTGTGCGAAGGAGCCCAACACTTATGAAATGACGATGAGCGCGATCACGGTATTAATGATGCCGCTGCTGCTGCTGCTGCTGCTGCGGCTGCTGGTGCTGCTGCTGCTGATGCTGATGATAATGGCAATGACCATGAAGATGTTTCTGATGATGATGATGATGATAATGATCATCATCAACATCATCATCATCAACATCATGTTTTAGCGATGATGACTCGTGATTTTGATGATGAAATGATGTAAGCCCTGCGCAAACCTCAACCCGTGACTCGTGACCCGACCCGGCTCTCCAAACAAGACTCAAATCCAGACCGATTTCGGGGGTAAGTCGACCCCAGAAGACAGTAGAAATCAAGCCCAGTTGAAAGGTGAAGCCGACCCAAAGCCACAGACAGATCACCCCCGACTGCGAGCTTAACTCTTCCTTCTTGCGAGGCTAGCTACTACAAGGCCATCTGGGAGATCGTCAAACCCAAAGTGGTTCGTCGTCTCGGCAACACTCAGAAGTCTCCGAGTCTTAGTTTCTCTATGGACACCAGGGCTAGCCTTCGATCAGGCCTTGACCAGGACGCGATCCTCAATACCGTTGATCGCGACACCGGCAACAAGCTAGATGGTTCGGAGCTCTGTCGGCCGCCCTGCATGTTGAGGGAGTGCGAGCCAACGATGAAACGAGAACCCATCCTGCCAGGAAGCACCCGAGCCTCAACGTGATTGTTGTCGCTGACTCTGACGGCAATCCGGCAGACGACTTGTTGCCAGCATCTCAATCACGATCCAATCACTTTAATTAAGCAGGGGCCTAGTCCACTCGTGCTGCCAACGCAGGTCAGGATTTTACGATTCCGGCAGTGAGGATCCCGGAGGATGGCCAATCTGGAGAAGGGCCAGAGGATCACCGTGTCGGCCATGCCAATCAAGACGCTAAGAGCGCGCCCAGCTTCGGGAAAGCTCTTTACATGCAGATTGCGAGAAGGTGCTGGAGGCCGCTTCAACTTCAAAGGGAATGCCTCAGCAGAATTCGCTGTCGAAGGCTCTGGCAGTTTCGACGTGGATGCCTTGTTTCATGTTACCCGCCTGTGCATGGTGGAGACGAGGACAGATTCAGCTCCTTCGCGGTGATGGGCTCCACACCGAGAAACTTCTTGACTACTTGGCAAAAGACGAAGGCAGCTCAAAAGGAAGTGACATGTATGCGAAGTCGGAGAGCATGCCGGAGACCCCAGCTACTGTAGTTGATCCGCGGGTGTTAATTTTGACAGAGCCGTTGTTACGGACTTCACGGGCCTGAACCGCGATGTCGTCCTCTCCGCCTTTCCGACGGGCGAGAGTATGCTGCATCCGAAGCGCAGGAAACTCTCACCAACTCCGCTCCCCACTTCAGCCTGTCAGTAAAGCTGTCGGACCCGACTGCGCCGCCGCCTCCGCATGCTAGACCCGCAGGTCCTGAGCCGCTAAACCACGCAAGCCCCCTACGCGGAACCATGGAACGCCCAAAAGCATCTACAGACCACCAAGACATGCAATCCTGTAATGCTACGAGGATGTGGGCCTCCCGCCCCCTGCCCCTACGAAGATTCAAGCCTCGGCTCCACAAAGCCCGAAGACTAAGTGCGCGGATGCGCCCGTTTAGGGTTTAGGGGTAGGAAAAGCAACGGGGAACTCGTTGGGGCCATGAAGCGGCGGTCGGTGTCGTCCGTCCTTGCCTCGGCGGCCAAGGTTGCTCGGGCGGAGGCCTTGCAACACCCATTCATAGGGTTTAGGGGTTTAGGGTTGGCTTTGCTCGCAAGAGTCTCAGCAGCGGTTTCATGATGAATCCCTTGCTTCCCAATACTGAACATCACCATTTAACGACAATGTCGGCTGTGGGTGACAACGGTGGCCTGGCTTTCAGTGGAACTGGCGTGGTGCACTTGGGCTGAACCCCGGTACCTTGTTTTGATGTTGAGGGCAGTTGATATGGTTTCGGATGATTGGAGCACTAGTATTAGCAGGCATTTATCCCCAGGTGCACCAGCAGACAGGCAAATACACTGTTGGGTTCAGCTTGATAGAAGCCCCATTACAGCGTATGGGGCCAGCATGCACTTTCACATTCTTTGTCACGTGTGGGTAATGCTGGGCTGTCAAGAGACGCCATTCGTGATTCCGCTCTTAGTTCGGCAGCTCGGAGGCTCGGCTTTTCGGCACGCCGCAGCCCTCCCGAGGCTTTCTCGATCTCAGGACCGTTTGACAATCGGTAAGCCCGAGTATTCCTTCTGCTACCAGCACCGGCTGTCAAAACCACAAGCGCCAGATCACAGCATGGTGTTATTCCGCTGTTGCCCTCATCCCCGAGGAGCGACGAACTCTCGGAGCCGTGCCACGAGAGGCCGCCACACGGCTCTGCCGAAGAGCCGTCCTCTTGCGTTGCCAACACTGAATCAGAGTCGGGCACTTAGGGGCTTAGGGCGGAAAGGCCAGTGTGCATTTTTGTTCCATGTCAGTCCTCGACTTGAGCTTCCCATGTGTCAATCAGCATTCGTCCCGAATTTCTGGTGGCACATTCGCCATCATTTGTGTGTTCCTGTAAGGTCATGACGATGTGCTCGTTGCAAAAAGGGGTCGTTGGTCCAGAAGCTGGCATGCCATGTGCTGATGTTAAGCATGCACGCCACAGCGTGTTTGCCCCTTATGATGAGTCGATCATGATTTGCTTGGCGGCCAGCCGTGTAAGAACAAACCAGTGAGGTCATCATGTTGTGGCACCCGCACCTTACGCAGTTTTTTCAATTTTCGCTTGGAGACAGGCTCCCCGAGTAACACGGCGCACTCACACGGAAGTGCAAAATGACAGAACTGTGTCCTCTGACTGAGGTCCGAGGCGGAGAGCATGGCAGCAGGTCCTCCTGACCTCAAAGAGGTTGAACGCCCGCAGCTCGCCCGCGAATACCTATGTGAACGTCCCACGTTGCAACTTAATCGAAACGAAGTAATGCAGGCATGTTCAGCCGCCAACGGTCTGGCAGTGCCCTCGCTTGGAGAAGCTGCTGCCAAAGACTTTGCAAGAAGACCGCGGCATGATGCAGGCACAGGATTCGGCACAGCTTGCAGTTTAGCAGCATGCTGCCTCAAACGCCGGCTTTTGAGTGCGCCGCGCTCGCATGTTGCCGCCTTTGTCACAGGCTTGGGACAAGGGCCGCAGACTGGCGAAGAGCGTCTCTCTGCTGGGGCCCTGGCCTGGCGAGGCGACGGTGAAATCCAAGAGTTGCGATGAGCCGCGCTATGTGGACTTGGCGCGATGCTGCCGCTGGGCAGAGAGAGGTCTAGAAACGTCAGTCTCCATCTGCCAAGAAGCCAGAGTGTCCTGCAAGGTTGCAGCTGCCCCAGCACCAATGCCTTCTGTGCACATCTGCTTGCTGCGACACTGGCCGCGGAAGAGTCCGGTGACGTGGAGGTCAGTGGATCACCACGACGGAAGCAGAGTCTTCAAGTGTTCTCTAAGCAGTGGCCAGGGAGCTTCGATCCCAGACCACTCGCACGGACTAATTAGTCCCGGAGTCATTGGAGACCGCCTCTTTCATGTCAGGCCTGTGGGCGAATGGCTTTGCTCAGCCACATGCACCACCTTGCGCGGGGAAGGAAGCGTCGAATTGAGGTGCGATGGGCGAGATGTCATGACAGGTTGACAGAGCAGACTTGCCATGGGAATGAGATTTACCTTTTTTCCTGTGCAGACATGGCAGGAGCGGCTGAAGCTTAATTTGGTGTTTGATGCGGAATTGGCTGATGGCAATGAGTTAGGGCCAAACTAAGGGGCTAGCTTAGGGCTCCGCGCAACTGCTTGTTAGTGACGGCAAGAAGCATCGCATTGATTAGAGTGACACCATGGAAGTGATCCTCGGGTCTGGAAGAGAACAGTACAGCCCGCAGTGGTAGCTCCGATGCTGCACTACTAGACACAGCAACTCGGTAGTGAGTGCGAAGCCGCATTTTTGAGTACATCCCTATGCCAGATGGCCGCAGAAGTATCGGCCGGAGCAGTCGCAGCCTTGCTCCCCATGGCCAGCGAGGCCACCGTCGCAAATAGTGTTGCTTCCTGTGGCTACAACTCGCCATCTCCAAGTCTGTCTCAATGACAATCATAGGCACGAGCAACATAACAGAAGCCATGAGTGGCTTCGAAGCATCTCAGTAGGCCGCCCTGTGTCGCTGGGCGCTGCTGTCCCTGCTAGCACTGCGCCGACCCTAGCCAAAAGACTCGCGGTCCACGGCCTCGCCTCTCTTAAAAGCTACGCTCCATGTCCAGTATCAGGGTTACGGAGAAGGACGGCTTCGTTGAGTCGTTCACTTGCGGCCTTTTTCTCAATCTTTGCTTGCTTTTCAGGTTCATCCTCAGAGGAGGAATAAACCGATTCGGGATCGAACTTCTCCGTCTCGTTTGTGAGTTCTTCGTCGTCTTTTTCGTCGACCCAAGACTTCTGGCTAATTAGCCTTCGGTTTTGTTCTAGGCCTGCAGGCTGTCAGGATGAAGGCCAGGTGCACTTGATGAAGGCCATTTGACTTCGTGGTGGCTACTAGTAGCATTACGAGTTATTCGTAGGTGAAGACTAGACTAGTAGTACTTGGTTACGGAGGTGCAAAACTTGTCGCAACAAAGGCCCGTGCTTGGAAGAGGATCGATTCTAATGCACATGCCGGCAGCATGGCACCTTGAGAGTTGAACCGGCCATTTTCAGCGGGAAGTTTACTCCCCCAAGGTGAGAAGGATTTGATGCTGTCCTTCTGGCTTTGTAGCTGGTTTGGCGGTGCATCGCAAGCGTGGGCGAGAAGGTTCAATATTTTAACCGGACACAAAAGGCTCACACTGCACGCACTTGTGAGGACGTTTCCACGCAAGGTCACATGCAAACGATGAGAATACATGCTGACATAGTGAGGTAGTGGTTTCAGCAGGATGTTGTGCAAGACGAGTACGTTCTTGTCGCGGGCTTCCACCTGCACGAAGACGACTTTCCTGGAACCAGCTTCCCAAAAACCCAGCATTCCAGGGCAAACTCAAGATTTTCCCAAGTGAAGCTTCGCTTGCGGGGACTGTTTGCACCGGGGTCTTGCTCAAGTGGAGAGAGAAAATTCGCTGCTTCCAGCTCAAGACGGCTTGCTTGCAGATCTCGCGAAAAGTTCTGCTTTGCCCAAGGAAAAGACTTCTTGGAGATTCTCGTTCAAGTGGACATGTCTTCGGGAAGGAAGCCAATAATAAATAGGCCACGGAACGCAGGGTTGCGAAAATGAAGCAGCGGAATGGCGACCGCCGTTATTCCACGTTGCCAAAGCATCCGAGGTGCCAGCGACAGCCACCCACGGCCTCAGTGATGTCAAGTCCCGGATCCGTGCTATGTTTTCAGCTGGCTGAGAAGGATGGGTGGGCACAGTTGCGTTTGCAAGAGCCCATGCATGCGACAACAACCCTCGTGCACGGAGCTTCGCTCTTCCCGGTTACCTCAGAGTATCGACAAGTTCTAGCAGAGGAATGCCACGGGTCAGCATAGGACGGCGCCGAATGGCACTGCCAAAGCCAGGGTGGAAGCTAATGTAGGTTTCCGAACACGGGCACGCAGCTTGTGTAATTTGACAGGAAGCCACCTTTCCTTGAGGCAGCAACAGTTGTTTCACTAAGATGATATAAGAAGCCTGCATCCTGACTGCAACCCGATTCCGACGATGCTTTCCCTAGCCAGGCCGCAGAGTTCCAAACAGCGTCGCAGGCCGCGGTCTTCATCGACTCCCTGGTCCAGGACCGAAACAAGAAGTTTCTGTGGCATTTTAAGTTCGTGACGGCAGAAAGATAGTGAGTTTCAGGGTTGACATCCGTTCGTCCATAGTCCATGCGCGCTGATCGAGGAGCTCGGAAAGTCCACCCCCTGCGCCTCACTGACCATGGCTGCTGCTTCGGCGGCCGCAGAGCGTTTACTGCTCGATGTTGCGCAAGAAAAGCGCGAGATGTTGTGCGAAGGGGCTTTTGTTGAGATCGCCAGAGTGTTCTTGTTCCTGCCGCAGTCGAAGTGTGCCTACCAGGCTCGAGAAACTACTTAGGCGCCGAGGCATCGAACGCGAACGACTTTAGTCTCACTGGAGTGAACCCCCCAGTAAGCTGAGAAAGTACGGTTGAGCAAGGTGTTGGGCGGCCTGTTTTGGGCGATGGCGTTGCGGACACTGTGCTGGTTGAGCCTGTCTGTAGTGCTGAACGGAGAAACCACCACCACTTCCACGACGACCACGACCTCGACCACGACGACCACTGCCACCATGACCACGACCACGACCTCGACCACGACCGAGAGCACCACCAGCAGCAGCTCAACGATACCACCTGCAACAACGAGCAGCACAAGTTCGACACTGACTGCAACATCCCGCACTTACACAAGTCAGACAACCACAACTCGCAGCATCACGACCTCCACAAGCACGACAACGCGGCCCGACACTTGCGACGTAAAGCTTCTGTCGGTGGTGCAGTCCTTGGGCGTCGCACTTGAGGAAGCATTGAAACTATCATGCGAGCCCTGTCGCCAACTTGCCATTGAGTGCGACTCGGAAGGCCGGGTGGTGGCCTTGAACCTCGGAGATAAAGGCCTGAACGGGCACCTGCCAGCAGAGCTCAGCGACTTGGGCCAGCTTCGCCAACTGAAGCTCGGCTTCAACCGTCTCACCGGGCCGATCCCAAAGGAGCTAGGCCTTTGTTCAAACCTGGAGCTGCTTCAGCTCACGGGAAACCAGCTTTCGGGGCCGCTTCCAAGAGAGCTGGGGAAGCTCAGGAAACTTAAGACTCTCCTTGCCTCCAGCAACAATCTCTCTGGCCATTTGCCAGAGGAGCTGGGGGACTTATCCGCCTTGCAGCGTCTGCACCTCTCCGACAACAGGCTCTCGGGACCCCTGCCTGCCGAGCTTGGAAAACTCTCGGAGCTGCTTGTTCTCCGTCTTGCCTTCAATCAACTGGAGGGCGTTCTCCCCGGAAGCCTTGGGATGTTGAACTCCCTTAGAGCCCTGTTGCTGCAGAGCAACAAGCTTGCCGGGCAGCTGCCGGTGGAAATTGGCAGCCTTGTGAAGCTCCGGCGTCTTGAGCTCTTCGGCAATCAGCTGGTGACGCCCCTGCCCCCTCAGCTAGGGCAGCTCCGCTCTTTGCAGATCCTGCGCCTCTCCCGAAACCAGTTCGCAGGGGCTCTGCCCAAGGAGCTCGGACATCTCTTGGACCTGAAGCAGCTGGATCTCTCCGAGAACAGCTTCACTGGAAACATCCCATCGGAGATCGGAAGACTGCAGAACCTCGAGCAGCTCAATCTTCGGAACAACCTCCTCGAGGGCCCTTTGATGCCTTTAGACTTTCAGGCCAGCGCAGAGACAGTCGGAATGTCAGTAAGATTCCAAGCGCCACTTCAGCCCCCCTCTCCCTCCAGCTCCTTGTAAGAAGCCTTCCTGGATATGACATGCGAAAAAAGATAGCTAGCAAAGGACTTGGGGCGGGCGATACGATAAGGCTGACCGCAAGTCGCATCATTCCTAATGACCGACAAGGGCAACTCAGCCACTATAGGCTACTAGTACAACACAAGCATGCCCAGACCGCACCGCGACACAACGCGGGGAAAGCCGGCATGCGAAGGACATGCAAGAACATCGCAGCAAGAGCAGCATCAAGACCAAGACGACTAAGGCAGAGCAGCACCAACGCAAACTCGTCATACGTCTCACGACTTGTTCTAGCCTTTTTTTCATGGTCTTTTTAGCATCGTAGCCGTCCCTCGATAAGGAAAGAGAATATTTGCAGGTTCAGGCGAGAAGTCGAGGTGAACCACCTGCGCCGTTAAAGCCCTGAAAAAGCTGCCTGTTCTTCCGGCGCAGGCCCTTCAGAAGCTGGATCTCTCCAGGAATCGCTTTACGGGAGCTTTGAAACTGAGCCCTGGGCTCCCAAAGATCCGGAAGCTCTCTTTGCGGGGGAACCGCCTCTCAGGGACCATTCCGGTCCTTGCACCTCTGCTGCGAAAGCTGGACCTGGGAGAGAATCGCTTTTCGGGGAAGTTTCCGGAAGTGGCGGGTCTCACAAAGCTTCTGGAGCTCAAGGTCGATGGAAACCAACTTTCCGGAGAGCTTTCAGAAGACATCTGCCGGCCACGGAGCCTGCTACAGTTCTCCTGCGGCCGCAACTTGCTGCAGGGTTGACTTCCGGAGTGTCTGTGGAAGATGCCCAGGCTTCAGCAGTTGTCGCTTCACAACAATGGCTTTGTGGGTGTACTTCCCGAAATCACCTTGGCACGGAGCCTGGTTATCCTGACGCTGCATAACAATGCTATCTCGGGGCCCTTGCCGAAGCGTTTCTTCTCCGAGTTGCCGAACCTTGCCATCTTGACTCTGCATGGGAACAGCCTCACGGGATCCATCGCAGATGGGATGAGTCTCAAGGAACCCTGTTTAGACAATCCTCGCTTCGAGCTTCGGGGTCTTGACTGTCACGACTGGAGGGACGAGACCTCGGCTGGTTGCAAGGCTTTGGCATCTCGCGGAGCTAGCAGCTTGACCCAACAAGAGCTTTTCTTGCTGATCGAGAACTGCCCCAGGTCTTGCCAGGAGTGTGAGAATCCGAGCTTGCAACTGCAGAACCCCATGCTGACGCTGCACCGAAACGCGCTCTCTTGCAGTCTTCCAGAGAAGGTGACGAGTGCGGCCGCAAGTGTCTTTGCACTTGTCGTCATGGGGAACATGGTCGGAGATGGCCATGATTTACCATCCTGGGTCCACATTGAAGAGCGGCAGGAGTTCCTCTACTTTTCTGACCGGGCCCACACCAGTAATCTCTTCATCGGCTTCGGTATGGCCTTCCTTCTATTGGGCCTGGTCTTCGCTCGAGGTCGTATCTGGAAGGCGCTCTTCCAAGCAGCCCGCTATGCTCATGAAAGCTCACAGGTCTCCGCTGTGTCCGAGGCACAGAGATTGACAGAGAGATGCAGAAACCTTCAGACATTAGGCTCGCTCCCTTCCCCGTCACCCGAGATTCACGGCATGATTTGGGGTGTCATTGGGTTGGCGCACTTTTGATCCCCTATAGAGCTTTGGCATGCCCTGTACCAGTCCTGCTTCGGCGTCCTTCGCTTCACGACCTTGTCTGCCATCCTATGCTTCGCGATGTTTCCCCTCTATGTTTGGGGTGCGACTTACTACAGCTGTGGGCAGCCGCTATCTCGTACCACTGCCGCCTACCTGAAAGGGTGCCTTGGCCGGAGATCTTTTCGATGAAACGGCACGCTTGCACATGCCCTGCCCAGACTTCTAGTCACCCTTTCTTTTGAGCTTCTAGGGGATTCGCAGCTCTCCAAGCACTCTTTCGCAAGAAGTTCTTGCTTCTCATGTCCACTTTGCAATAATGCTTTACATCACACTGGCCTGGCTGGAATCAGCTCAGCGTGGGGGTTCCTCTTGTCGGTCCTTTTTTTGTGGCGTCCCGTCTGACTGTCTATAAGGCCCTGGGAGACTCTGCTGGTCTGCACCTCCTGGAGTTTGCTGACCCTCTTCTTTGCAGCCGCCGTGGCTGCCCTGCCCTCCAAGCGCGCGGCAGGCCTCCCCGAATTTTCCAACAGCAGGAAGAGGAATGAAGCGCGGAGCCCCGTCAGGATTGAAAACTCCTCTGGAATCTGGACCCCGCGGCTGCAAGCTCATCATGTTCTGGATGCTGTGGCTGGCCGGGGTTCTGCTTCACCTGACTTCTGTCTGCTCATAGGCTGTGCTGTTCTGGAGGTGGTGGTGCTTGGCCTGTCCGTGCCCTCAATCCTCTTTTCTGTCTCTCAGGCCTCCGAAAGCTGCATTCACATTCAAGCACTGTGTAGCTCCAACATGTCACTGCGAGTTCACGTCAGAGGCTCTCCCTGCCGGCAACACTTCGGGGCTGAGCCACCAGACGCTGCAGATTGCCCACCGGGCGGCTCCCGCCCTGATTGTGGCTGTTGACATGCTTTTGGCAGGTGCTCGGCCGGCAATGCTCGCAACTTGTGAGCTGTGCTTCTCGATAGATATATGATTGGAACCCGACTGTGAGTCAAGGTGCCTTGACAAGATGCTTCTCGGCGCTCACGGGTCTCCGACGCGATCGCTTGCTTATGATTTTGAGACTTTGCTCCGCCTGGCTCCTGTCTCTGCTAACGACTCTAGTTCTGCACGAGAACTGCTTGGCTGGTTGGAAATTTTTCTGGAGTGTTTGTGATGCACAGAGCCCACGCCACGAGATATTCACCCTTGGTATCTGGGACGAAGAAATGATGAACACCGATGCTGACATGTGTCAACTGGAGCCTTCCTGGTGGAAGAATGGTCGTTGCAGCAGGGCCATGATTGAAGGTCTTGCCCCTCTGCTGATGAAGAAGCTTCTTCTCAGAACCTGCCTTCTGCCGGTCCTGCTGCTCATCGCATGGCAGCTGTCGAAGTTGGACTCGGGCGAGCGTTCGGATGGAAGCCGTCAGTTGAGGCTACTTAAGATCGGTCCCACGACCAGCGGTTGCCTTTCGCCGGTGCAGCAGCATGCCCTGCTGACCACCTATATGGAGACAACCATATTTTGGGGGCCACTAAATCCTTTGGTCAGCTTTTGCGTTGCCACTGCAGCCGCGGTCAACACGCACCCCTTCTGCACTGCACCCTCTTCTCGACGTCCGTTTTGAACTCTCTTTTGCTTTTTTTTTGCACTTGTGGACCAAGGCTTCTCTTCAACAAAGCCGTGACGGATTTCGGAGTGCGCATGCCCACGGATCATGCAAGCAGCGTCTCCACGGTGTCTCGCGACTACTTGGTGTGCTCGATAATAGGCGCGGCAGTCTTTCAGATGTGGCATGCGTTTGGAACGGGTATGAAGGGGCAAGTGCTGCTGGTGTTGGCAACCGTGGCCGTCCTTGTCTTTACTTTGGTGCCTTTTGCACCCGTGCACTGCGGTGCATTTATTCAGTGCGTGCGATGGATCATCTGGAGACCGGGCAATACAAACGAAGAGGCCGGGGGCCGGGATCGAAGATTAAGTCGATGACGACCGTTCGCCTTGGCGTTGTAGTGAAATGCCCTTCGAGAGGTACAAGTAGGTCACGTGATGTAGAGATGATGCAACATAGTTCAGGTGCATTTGAGAAGGGAATGCCATGTGTTTGGACTCCTTGCATGGGAGGTCATTGAGCTGACCTGCCCGGACTCACCATCGGACAGATCGAACATACGGTCTGCCTCGGTCGATGCGAGCGAGACTTGACATTCGGAAGGAGAAGTCCCCAAGTTCGAGCTACCCGCGGGCGCGCCCTGCCACGCTGTGGGCGGCGAGCTGTTCCGCCGCAGTTCTGCGAGGTGAGCCGAGGACATGGAGACATGCCAGGGTCTTGTAAAGACCTGCTCCGCTCTCTGCCTACGCTGTGGTGTCTTGGGCTCGGCCCGCGCATCCGAATGTCAGCTGCCCGAATCACAGAGAAGAGCCTGCGATGGAAGTCCATGTGACTTTGTGGCAAGAGGCACAAGGTCGTTGGAGATATCGGTCTCGTGCAACAGCTGCATGTACCTCGAGCAACAAGCAAAAACAGAGTCGGAGTAGGGCAGCAGTCATGCGGGGGCGACTATTTCGGCATGCAGCTTTCATGCTTCCTGCGTGAGTGGATGCTCGTTCAATCACTGCTGAAAGAAGCTGTTGCAGAAAGAGACGCCCTGGTCCTTACCTTCATGGATCGAGCTGTGAGGCCAACGGCAGACACTAGTTCTCTGCAGAACGTAGCGCCTCAAGACAGAGGTAGACAAGATATGGCACAGAGGGAGAGAGGCGGTTCCAGGTCCACTTCGGCCGGGACCCCTGCACAGAGGGAGAGGTCAAACGACATCCTAAGTACCCCCGCGTCGTGCATGCACGAACGCATACACCTGCCGCGCCCATTTCCCAAAAGAAGAGAGACCGGTGGCAACGGCGAACATGCAGATCTGTGGCTCAAGATGGGAGAATCAAGGAGCAGTGCCGAGGCCAGAGCCCGAACGACAGGAAAGGAGACAGGCTGCAGACGAAATGCCGAGGATGGGGCAGGGCGTTCACAACAAGGCCGTCCTTCGTTGCGTCATCGCAGGCTCCCAACATCTCCCAAGCCTCGGTGGCCCGTCGGCATTTGTTCCCTTGTCAGGTGCAAGTCTTCTGCTTGTTGCGGTGTGGACAGTTGCGTGAGCAAACGAACGTCCCTTGCTTGCCAGGCCTTGCGCAAGGTCGCGCTGCTGGACAGTGACGAGCTACGGTTCGGAGCGCAGACACTTTTTCTGCGAAATCTGCCCCCCCTTGAACAGGAAGTTCGCTTGCTGACCTTCGCTCAGGACATCCGAAGACCTAAAGGCGAAGAGCAAGTGAAGTTGGCGACTGGAAGAGGCCATCCGCAGAAGTTCACCACGCGGATGTTCGCTGACCTTCTGGTGTTGGAGCAGAGACATATCTTTGCTCGGCTGCCGTGTCCTTCCTCAAGAGACGTGTTTGAAAATAATCAAAGTATAGATCCCTTGCTCCATCCGCGCGTGTGGCTATGCTCGATTGGACCCGTCTGGGCGGACTACCAGGTGGATCTTTTCTTTCGTCTCATGCTTAAGGACCGTTCAGCTTAGGAGGAAGACTCGAGGCACGCAAGGCTTGGAAGAGAATCATGACTACTAGCCTCAATGACTCAATCCTCTTTTCCGAATCCAAGATATCACCGACGCCTGCAATGGGCCCACTTCCCGCCGAACCGGCACATACACTCACGGCACGCGTGCACTGCCGACTTGAACTCTACTTCAACTGTGCTTGCTTAATTAGATTAATCTGAGTGCTGCTGGTAAGTAATGATGGCTGCTGTCCTTGTTACTGTAGGCAGTCAGTGGCACGCCAATGGCAGGCTAGTAGCTCTTGCTCAATTGCTTCTGGGAATGTGAGTCATGCTGCATGCCTTCCTCCTGTGTCATCCGTTGTCATCCTGCTCCCTGTGTGTCTCATCGTCATGACGGTCCCAGGCGGCAAGATCTTTGGGGGCGTGGAATCCTGGGTGGATACCTCGAAGGCGGCAGGTTGCACAAGTCAGGTTGAGCAGTTGGGCTTGGAGAACACGATTAGGCAGATTGTTACCTTGAAGTACTTCTTCTACTCTCCCAACTTGGTCTGGTTCATCCTGGCTTTCGTGATTTATGCCGTGGCCCCTTACGACATTCCAGCGGCCAGAACTTGGTCCTGGAGTTGGATTCTGCCAAGGCTTTTCTTGAACTTTGCGGTTGCTTTTGCCTACTATGGCTTCTTCTACTTCGGCCTTTACATCAGCCACTGGTCCAGCAGGAAGTTTTCCCCAGAGAAGTTTCCTACTGCGGGCAATATGGCGCACAACCTATACTATTGGATCCTTTGCCGCATTCTTCCCGTTGAGACAGTATGCTTGGATACCCAATCGTCGCACGGTACTCACGTAAAGCAGATTGTGTTCTGAGAATGCATGAACGTTTCCCATGTCATGGGCTCAATAGGACGTCATCGGTTCATGCCCCTTTCTCACGTACATGACATCCTTTCGCCCACGTCCTTTCTTGCCTTCCGACCTCCACGCGTAATCATGTGTCCAGGTCGCTGGGTGTGCTGCAGTGGACACTTTTGGAGGCCCTGATGCTTCGTTTGTGGGCCATCGGCAAGGTGCCTTATGCCACGGCTGGGGAAGTCTTCTCTAGTCCTGCCCTGCTGTCCTTGAATGTTTTCTGGGTGATGGTTATGCCACTGTGGCGGGATTTGCATTTCTACATTGCGCATCGCTTCATCCACATCCGTGCGATCTACAAGTATGTACACAGCTTGCACCACCGAAATGCAGATCCCGAACCGTTCTCAGGGCTCACCATGCACCCGATAGAGCACTTGTACTACTACTCCAATGCCTTCTTCCCTGCCCTGTATCTGTCGGGGCTGTCTCCGTTTGTTTTCTATTGGTGTTTCTTCCACCTGGCAATTGCCCCAGCTGCCGGACACAGCGGCTGGGAGGATCATTTCCAGTCGGATCAGTACCACTACTGCCATCACGCCAAGTTCGAGTGCAACTACGGCTCTCCGATGAGTGGCTTTATCGACCAATGGTGCGGCACCTTCCGGGAGAAGTTGGGAGAGTCCAAGGAGTACAAGGGACAGTACAGAGATGAGAATAACAACATCAACACCAAGACTTGGGCCGCGGAGTCTTACCTGGGCATGCCGAAGGACGTGTACCATGGCACTTACACACTTTTCTGGGCTGCCATGGCGCCTTTGATTGCTTGGGCCACGGCCCACCCAGCCCATCAGGCCGTTTCTCAGCTCACAGGCTTCGTCGTGGCCTTTGGCCCAGTGCTCTTGGCCTTGGCCCTTTGTCATCTTTCTGGTGACAAGCTGAGCTGGCGCTGGCCTTTTCAGAAGGAGCGGGTCATCGGACAGTTTGGGCTTTTCTTGACCCTTGGCTTCGTTGCCGTGTTGCTCCCAACTTATCATGCTGTTTCCTGGAGTGTTGCTGCTGGGCTTTAAGCAGTTGCACAGCACCTCTGCAGTAGTGGGCAATCGTACAGCTCTCATCTGCATTCACTTCCGACAACTTCGGCCTCTGCCAGTTCATGCGCACACCCGTTGCTCAGAATAGCGAATGTACTATTTCGAAGTGCACAGCATCCGCGTTGGAGCTGTCTGTGCACGCCGTCGAAGGTCCTCCGCAGAAAGAGACTTGTACTGTAGTTAGGGAGTTTTGTGCTTCCAAGCCTTTCAAGACACAAAACAGACCTGCTGATTGCATGTTCCGAGGGGTCCAGTTTAGTCCTGGTGCTCTCCGACGTATCCAGGGCTTGCATGATTTCCTCAGGACTTCTCAGGACGAAGCGCGTTCGAGACGCCGAGGGATGGAATCCAAGGCCTGGCAAGTTCCACACCGTCCGTCGCCATGGGAAAGTACTCGTCTCTGCTGGAGGGGAGGTGCCGATGAAGTTATGGAGAGGCTGCCTCAATTCAGCAAAAGCTCGTCCGACTTTGCAGTTCTGGCAAGGTCAGCACGCCATCGATGCTGAGGATGCGAGGACCCATGAGATGGACAAGCCGGTGGCAGCTTCAGTGCCTCAGACTCAGTACCTGTTTGTGTGCTTCTGCCGTTCAGTAGTCAGTAGTTAGCGGGAAGGCATTCGTTTCATTGTATCCAGCTGGTAGGAGGAAAAGGCTTGTTGCCAGGGTCCTACCAAAAACTCGTCTTGTAGAACTCGACCATCTGCTGAACTTCACCTTACCACCCTGCGCCACCCACGCTGCTCTCATTGTGAAGCCATGTGTGCTCGCTTCGTGCGTCAGACACAGGAGCACACATCTGGCCTACAAGTTGTGCAGCCTTGCAGAGGTGTTGCGACGTTTGGAACGATTCCTTTGCAACCATCAAGACCAACGCTGCTGCCGCTGCACAGGCGAGGCAGAACCCGGTCTTGGCAGACAGCAGGAGAGTGCAGAAGGGAATTGCTGTGACTGGGGATGGTTCAGGAAGGGCGGGAAGTGTTCCGGGAAAGCAGACTAGCCGAGGCTGGATGACGCAGAGACCGAGTCCATTCTGAACACTGTGAAGGTGTTTTGCCCTGTCAAGCTCGCGCCTATTCGTCGTAGCAGCTTCTTCAGCCCTGCCACCCTGCAGTTTTTCAAGTTCGACAAGGGCACGTCCATTATCCAGGAGGGCCGTCTTGGAACAACGTGGCTCGGACAGCAGTATTCTGTGAGATGGGATTCCTGGGTTGGGCGAAGACCCCAGGTTCTTTGTGACGCAGACAGGATCGATGGAAGTAAGCGTGTCTGGGCCTGCAAAAAAGATGTTCGGTGTTCTGTTTCTGCCAAACGGATGTGCAACAGAAGCTCCCATGAGGTGAAGGGCATCACCTGCAACACCATCGGTGCAGGTGAGTCTCTTCTTTGAGCTTGCTTTTTCTCACCCTAGTCCCTGTCAGACTGTCTTGCATTGCGCAGGCTGTGCCTTCGGTGGCCTGGCGCTGCTGTACAACTGTCCAAGGAAACCACCACTGCATCCTGGCACAGTGTAAGTGTGATATCTTGCACTCTCCCCCACACGAGGACGGCGACCGTCAAGGCCACAGCGGATAGCGAGGTCTGGGGCGCTTCTTGGCTGAAAAAAGGGCGGCAGATGAAAAAACCTTGGGAAACTTGGCCGGTTCTGCTATTACCATCACCACTACCATTACTATAACCATTACCATTACTGTTGCTATTACTGTTACTATTGCTATTACTCAGGCCAGTGGCATTGCCTTCAAGGAGAGACTCCAGCAGAACGCCACCAAACACGAAGCAAAGCCGGCATTTCCGCAACAGAGAAGATACGTCGAAAGAGCACCCCCCCAATGTCTAAACCCTTTAAACCCCTATAACGTACAGAACCCCTCGCCAAGGCTTGTCCGAGTGTGAGTGCTGAAACCCTCATAACCCTTATAAACCCTATGAGCCCTAACCCACCCTGCCAGGCCGAAACCCTCAAGTTTTTGGATTCCATGAGCATCTTCGAGGGCCTCACCAAGAAGCAGAAGACCTGCGTGGCAGAGGTGCACCGTCAAGAATCGGATAGAATGATTATACTATTCTAATCTTAAGCGAGCATTCTCTTCTTCTTCTTCTTATGATGATCATGATATATTCTTGCTGTCATTCGTACTCCTGTCATGTTTGTCGCGCTGCTGCCGGGTTGCAGACCTCCCAGGCGACCTTCTCAGAAGTCTTCGAAGACAAGGCGGCGAACGAAGCCCCACATCCTGACATCCCTGACCCTGCAAAAAAAACCTGACCTAAACCTATAGAATCTAGAATACCTGTTGAGATGTTGCCGATTCTTGCAGCTTTCCACCTCTGGGGCAGGCTCGGGTTGTGACGGCCGGCGACATGCAGACTGCCATCTACTTTGTAAAGACAGGCCACTGCCCTTCGGTTTAGGGTTTAGGGGGTTTAGGAAAGAACTCGAGAATGCATCCCGTCTCGTAGTTGCTGGCGGAGACTCAAATTATTTCGTGTTCTCCAGCTACGCTTGAGAATCTGGTTAGGAACTTAGACCTTCCGGAGGCTGTGACTGAGATTCACACACAAGCACGCAGATTTTATTTGGGAAATAGAGTACTTTTGGCTCAAGTTTCGGGTTTCGCTGTCCTCCATTCAGCTCCAGCCTGCTATGATTCTTGCGTTTCAACTAGCTCTCTGCGGCCTCTGCGGTTTGGTTCAGGCCACAGATGACCAGTGCTTGCTGGCTCGGCCGCCGACAAGAACGGACACTCTGGAAGAGGAAACGGACACTCTGGAAGAGGAACTGGAAGAGGAGGAAGATCTTCACTACCAAGGTGGGGCCAGCTCGGACTACATGAAGAGGTGGGAAGGTAAGTGGGAGAAGCAGGAGCCACTGCATCGGCTTTCTCACTTCGTTGCTTTGGCAGTCAGAGCGGCGCGAGATCCCTCCAGCATGAAACTTATCCCCACTCTTCTCTCTCACTTCTGGTCCTGGCGCTCCGGTGACCCAAAGGAAGGTCTGGTTGCAACAACCTTTCAGTGGACCCAACGCAACGTCCCAATTGGTGGCGTCGCTGTAAATATCAGTTCGCATATGACCGCAGTGAAAACCTGGCTGGAGAAGTATTTAGACTATGAAGCCCCCTTCTACAAGATCAAAGAGGCCAGAGCTGAGGCCGAGACGGCTCTGCGAGACATCAAGGAACACCCGGAAATTTCGGAAAGGGCTCTAAGCATTGCGAACTACCTCTTGGCCGCGACAAGTCTCATGGTGATGTGGAGAGAGGAATACAACCTCCTCGAAAAAAAGACAGTGCGTGTCAACATGGAAGGCGCCTACACAGAGATCAGAGAAACTCTGAAGGACCTTGTAGACGTCTTCTGGATTTACCGATGGGGCTTCGTCCTGATGCGTGTGTACCCTGACAGGTTGATTTGGTTTGACCAATTCCTCAAGGTGAAGCGGAAGTACAGCGTTAACCACAAGTACTCTTCCAAGTTCCAGCATGTGCTCACACAGGTCCTCAAGCGGGAGATCTTCGTGAACGAGCTGGCGCCCATGCTCAAGAGCTTCACGACGCTGCACCGGCTCATCCCGGGCCGTGAGGAGGAGCCCCCAGAGTCCGAGCCCTTCTTCCCCGAGAAGATCTATTTGGGCCCCTACTCCGGCTTCATGATGGGCACCAAGGCTTCGATGAAGGACCAAGAGAATGTGGAACGGTTCCTCTACCCGAGCGAGACCGAGACCTCTGGCGGCTCCATTTGGATGGCCGGGGGCCGCACGGGCGCTGCGG